AGGCTCACGGCGCAACTGCCGCTACCAGGACCCTGCACACTGGCATGAGGGTCAAAGCCAGTGGCCGTTTGGTGACATCTGGTCCTGGCAAGCGGCGTGGCCGCCCTCGCCTCTCCGCCATACCCTTGGGCCTGTGCGGCACAGTGCACAGCGTCGACTTCATGGTGGGAGGCTTCGGCCATACAGAGGAATATGGTGCTCTTTGTCGACTGGGACCCTCCCTACCAGTTTGCAGGTTGCTCCATGACCTTCCATCCACGGAGCGAGTGGCAGCATCTCTCTCCGATATGAGGTGCTTGCTATCCCTCGGTGTTCCCTCTTTGGCTGAGCGATGCTTCGGGGTTGTGGGTCACACGATGGAGGGCCGGCTTCTATGTCCTCCCCGTCACTGGCGTCCCCGTGGCGCTCTCCTGCTTCATGTTCGGCGGGTTGTTCTTCGTCCGCGTGTGGGCCTTCCTCCGCGTGTTGGTCTACCTGCCCCTGGACTGCTTCATCCACGAGTGGTCATCCCTCCACACTTTCTTTTACCTTGCCCTTTGCGCTACCACGGCGTGAGGGCGCCACGCTGTCACTCGTCGGTCGCGCACGCGGCCGCTCGGGAGACACGCGTGAGGCGCTGCGCTCCCTCTCCTCCTCCTCCTCCTCCTCCTCCTCCTCCTCCTCCTCCTCCTCCTCCTCCTCCTCCTCCTCCTCCTCCATCCTCCACCCTCCCTTCTCCTCCTCCTCCTCCTCCTCCCTCCTCCTCCTCGTCCTCCTCCTCCTCCTCCTCCTCCTCCTCCTCCTCCCCCTCCTCCTCCTCCTCCCCCCTTGGCGAGGTGATCACCGCGATGCGGCCCAGACCGAAGCAGGGCCCCGGGTGAGTGAGCGGCGCGTGGCCGCCACGGCTGACTGCAGCACTGGGGGACTTGCGGGGTGGGGCAGACCGGCAGGCAGGCAGGCAGAAGGAGGCAGGCGGAGGAGGTGGGGGAGGACAAGGAGGAGGAGGACAAGGAGGAGGAGGAGGAGGAGGAGGAGGAGGAGGAGGAGGACGCGGAGGAGGAGGAGGGGGAGGAGGGGGAGGAGGAGAAGAAGGAGAAGGAGGAGGAGGAGGAGGAGGAGGAGGAGGAGGAGGAGCAGGAGCAGGAGCAGGAGCAGGAGCAGGAGCAGGAGCAGGAGCAGGTGGAGCAGGAGGAACAGGAGGAACAGGAGGAGCAGGAGGAGGAGGGTGGAGGAGCGCACATCGGCGGCGGCGAGACTTCGGGGGGCGATCAGCAGGAGGTCGCTGGGGCCCGCAGCGCCAGCGGCGCGCGCCCGGCGGGCCCCCAGAGGCAGACGTCGTCGTCCTCGGAGTCGGACTCTCTGCGTCTGGCCCCAGGTCCCGGCAGGAGACGTCATCGGCGATCTGCCCAAAGATCCGACGCTCCCGACAGTTGGAGCCGCAGGTTTCTGGCCGCTTTCGGCCTCTGGGGGCCCTCGTTGGGCTTCGGGACCATCAAAGAACGACTCAGGGCGAGAAACCGGCCCTGAGGAAGTGGTCCAGACCTCCGGGGCGCACATCCGCGGCGAGCGTGGGGAAAGCGTGGAGGGGCGGGCCTTCTCAGGCGTGGTGTTCTGCTATTTTCGGCCTCTGGAGGCCCCCACCTGGCCTCGAGACCGTCCACAAGATGTCTCAGGATGAAACACCGGTCCTGGGTGATGAATCGCAGCGTGAGAGCACGTGTCATATCTTCTTGAAGTTTCGCAGGCGGGTACAGACGGGCAGGAAATCTGCGTCCAGGCCTGTTGGTGGAATACGTTCATCAAGGATTACGGACGATTTGTCTTAGAGTGTGGGTCGTCGTGGTATCAGATATTGTTGCGATCGTGACCCGTTTGTCAGACAACGGGAAGGGTTTGTGTGATGGCAGCCTCGGCACACTCGTATGGCATCATGTGCGTTGTGGCAATTGGGCCGCACGCCTGACGCGACGAGGAGCCCATGAGCTGTTGAAGGCAGTCGTGCCTTTTTTCACCCTGCTTTCAAGCCGAATCGGCTGTGAAAGCAGGCATGACTTACCCAGACTTCAGAATTCGTTGTGCTAAACACCTCAGGGTGAGAAAACAGTTGTGCCGCCTCCTTTCAAGACTCGAGCATTGCGACTGCAATTCCGCAGCATTGCCAGTGTCATTGCCGTCTCAGTTGTCACCAGCGGCTTGGTGAAGTGTTGCGCTCCTTGATCGCTCGGAGCGGCTTCCCGGCCGCCCGCCACATGCAGACCGAGGCCGTCGCTGCCGCCGCCACGCCCTTTGGCTCCTGCCAGAGCTCGCGGGCAGGGTGCTGCCGCGGCGCGGTTGCCAGGCTCCTCCTCCTCCTCCTCCTCCTCCTCCTCTTCCTCCTCCTCCTCCTCCTCCTCCTCCTCCTCCTCCTGGCAACGCACGAAGCTCAGTTCAGTGGCGGGCCTCGCCGGCAGCCCAGCACAGCGCGCGCCCCTTTGCTCTGCATGCCGTTGAGGGCGTCCTCGGCCCCCGCGAGCACCGCGGCACCGAAAAGGGCGCCCGGCTCCTCCTGGAGGGGAGCCTGTGCCGCTGGCGCTGGGAGAAGGAAGCTGCCTGCCGCCGTCGCTCTGTGCAGACAAACCGCCTGGCAAGGATGAGCCGTGTCCCAGGGTTGCCCTTGCATCATTCCCTTTCGGCCGGTCCTTGGCCGCTTTCGCTAGCCGCGCCCCGCTCGCAAAGTGTCGACAGGACCTTCCAAGGCCCTTGCATCCTTATCGTGCGTCCTTGGTAGGGGTTGGCTGTACGGCTCGAATCTACCCCTGCCCTCAGCTAGGATCTCAGCGCCGAACGGCTGAAAGGACAGCTCGGCGTCCACGATGATGCCGTGATGCCCATGACCTTCCTTGTCTGCACAAGTCTGGGAACATTCGGGAACATATGGGAAGCGGGGTGAAGACGAACACCCAGAACAGATGGAACAAGTATTCGGATTGTTGGGATTGGTTCGGGAACTGGATCATATATGTACGTACATATGTACACACATATGTACATATACATATATATATATATATATGTGTGTATGACCAGTGGTGGGCTGTTTTTAGTCCCATGACTTTTTGAGGATCGGGGGCGACGTCGGGGTGGTGTGGTGTATACTTGTTGTTTCCGTCCACGACGGACAGCAGCGAACAACGTATGCACCAGGATCCCGTATACCCCAGGATCCGGTTTCTTGTGCGAATTTCAGTGCGGGGCCCGCAAAACATTGGTGTACAGAGTTCGGTTCCCCATTGGTGTCTATTTCCCAACTCTCCTCGGTTGGGCATTCGTTTTGAATAGAGCACTGCGGTCGCGTCTCCCTCCTCCCGCCTCCTCCCGCTTCCTGCCCTCTCTTCGCCGTCGCTGGGGGGCTGCGATCTGCGAAAGTGTCGCCACTTTCGAGGGCTGCTGGTGGGTCCAGCGGAGTGGGGCACCGCACGGACCTGAGGTAGACCTCGTCGTCGTTGGGGGGCTGCGATCTGCGAAAGTGTCGCCCCTTTCGAGGGCTGCTGGTGGGTCCAGCGGAGTGGGGCACCGCACGGACCTGAGGTAGGCCTCGTCGTCGTTGGGGGGCTGCGATCTGCGAAAGTGTCGCCACTTTCGAGGGCTGCTGGTGGGTTCAGCGGAGTGAGGCACCGCGCGGACCTGAGGTAGACCTTGCCGTCCCTGTTGGGCTGCGATCTGCGAAATTGTCTCCATTTTCGAGGGCTGCTTGTGGGTCCAGCAGAGTGAGGCACCGCGCGGACCTGAGGAAGATCTCGCCGTCGCTGGGGGGCTGCGATCTGCGAAAGTGTCGCCACTTTCGAGGGCTGCTGGTGGGTCCAGCGGAGTGAGGCAACACGCAGACCTGAGGTAGACCTCGCCGTCCCTTGGGTGGCTGCGATCTGCGAAAGTGTCGCCACTTTCGAGGGCTGCTGGTGGGTGAGCGAGGCACCGCACGGACCTGAGGTAGGCCTCGTCGTCGTTGGGGGGCTGCGATCTGCGAAAGTGTCGCCACTTTCGAGGGCTCTGGTGGGTCCAGCGGAGTGAGGCACCGCGCAGACCTGAGCGAGACCTCGCCGTCCCTTGGGTGGCTGCGATCTGCGAAAGTGCCGCCACTTTCGAGGGCTGCTGGTGGGCTCGCCACTTTCGAAGGCTGCTGGTGGGTCCAGCGGAGTGAGGCACTGCGCAGACTTGAGCGGGACCTCGCCGTCCCTGAGCGGCCATGTCATGGTGTTGCTGCCCCGCCGGCGTTTCGAGCCCCTTGCCCACAGTGTCCTGTTGGACCTGGCGTCCTTCTTACTGACTCAGGGGTTCACTTAGTCACCCATTGTTTTTCCCTTGATTGTCAACCGGCGAGCCTTCCGAATGCCGCTCGCAGAAGTATATGCGTCCATGTCACGCTGCCGCCTTCTCGTCAAATCTCCCAAGCTACTCCAGACACGCATTGCGCAGGGGTTGGGTACCTCGCCAGGGTAAGTATTTTTTGTGTGTCCCTGGGCCCAAATCATTGCCTGCACCACGTCGCACCCCATTTCCTCGTCGCACAGCGGGCCGCCGCCGACCACCTTGCAGGCTGACCTGTCCGCCCCGAGCTTGAAGCCTGCCCTTGCCCACTGCGCGTAGCGGGCAGATGCCGAGCGGAGCGTTTGGTTTCGACGCGGCGGCGAGCGAGAGGGTGAAGTTAGAAGGAGAAGGCCTTCTCAGAAGGCTCGGAAGTACCTCGGCCTTTGACAAGTTTTCGAAGCCTTCCCCGATGACAATAACAACCTCTCAGAATACGCGAGGGCTTCTAAGAAGTTCCGCCGCCTTCTGAGAAGGCCTTCTCCTTGTCACGGCCCCCCCTTGCTCGCCGCTGGCCACTACGCGTAGCGAACAGATGCCGAGCGGAGCGTTTGGTTTTGAAGACCCAACAGCGGCATATACATAAACTTGTGGCGGTCGCTGACAGAAGGTAGTCTTGGATGTCCAGATCCCGATCGATTTTAGGGCGCCTTCTCACTTCAATAATCTAGCGGTTCCCCCTCTTCCCTCCTCTTTCGGGGGTGGGCAGCAACCCTATGTATTCCCAACGCCGTCCTGCTTCATGCTTCCGCCGCCACTCTGGCTCAAGCCGACGAGCTGGCAATCGCTCGCTCGCCAAATACAGCCAGTAACTAATTTTCCATTCAGCACTCCTCTCGGGGAAGACGGCCAGAGGACCCGTTGCCATGGCGCAGCCGCTTTCGTTCGTCTTCGCGGACCGTGTCACCGTGCCGGGCATGCTCGGTGTCGACATCCAGGCCGAGATCTTGGCCAAGATCGTGGAGTTTAAGCCTGACAAGATCCTCCTCGTCAGCGACGAGACCGTCGACGGCCTGCACGGCGGCTTCTTCGACCCTCTGCTCCCGCAGCCCTGCGCGGGCCTCGGCGAGACGGGCTGCATGGAGGGGCTGCCCGGGGGCGGTGCACCGGACTCCCCCGACGTGGAGAAGTTCGTGCTCCCTCCGGGCGACGCGTGCAAGTCGTGGGCGCACCTCTCCGAGCTGATGGAGTGGGCCTTCCGCGTCGGGGCCACCAAGCGCAGCGTCGTCGTCGCCTTCGGGGGCGGTGCCCTCATGAACGTCACGGGCCTGTTCGCGTCCATCCTGTACCGGGGGATGAAGCTGGTCTACGTCCCCACCACGCTGCTTGCCATGCACGACGTGACCACCTCGCTGAAGACCTCCATCTGCTACGACGGGCGCAAGAACAACATCGGCTCCTTCTATGCACCTCAGGTGATCCTGATTGACGTTGCGTTTTGCAGGACTCTGCCTCGGGGCGAGATGTTCTCAGGCATCGGAGAGCTTATGAAGAACGCATGCCTTTTCGGAGGAAAGTACGCAGACGGTGTCTCTGAAGTGCTGTCCAGGGACCGTATCAATTCCAGCCACGGTGGGTCCGGCGATGAGTTCATGATGGACGACGAGGCTTTGATGAAGTTGCTCGTCTTGGGTATCGAGGCCAAAATGACGGTCCTTGCGAAAGACGCCTACGAGAAGACGTCTGGGATGGTCTTCGAGTACGGGCACACGGTGTCCCACGCCATCGAGAAAGCCTACGGTGACGGTGTCGTGCCGCACGGGTTGGGGGTGACCTACGGCATGATGTCGAGCTCGTATGCGGCCAGGAAGTTGGGGATCATGTCGAGTGAAGATCATGAGCAGCACGACAAGCTGTGCATGTTGCTGCTGCACCGTTGGAAGTTGCCCGAACCACGGCCCAGCGCCGAGCGTGTGCTGGCGCTCGCGATGCAGGACTCCAAGCGCGGCATCACGAGCGAGGCGGAGGACGAGATCTCGGACGTGCTCCTGAGGAAGATGGGCGACGTCGTCGAGACGAAGACCAGCAACCTCTCGAAGTTCCCCTGCAGCCTCGTGCACGAGTGGCTGGTCTCCATGGGCTTCCCCGCCGAGGGCGCGCCCGCGAAGGGCGGCACGGGCGAGCCCTGAGGCGCTCAGACGCAGCGCCCGCCGGGGCGAGGGCACGGGGCTCGCCTTCCGGAGCCACAGGGCGGCCGCGCCGCCCCGGCCCGCCAGGCCGGTTGGCCAGGGGCCGGGGAACTGCCGCGCGCCGCCGCTCCACGACCGAAGAGCCGGAGTCGGCGGCGAGCGAGGGGGGAGCAGAGTCGGAGGGAGAAGGCCCTCTCGGGTCTGCTCGGGAGCCCCCCGGCCTCCTTGAGGAGTGCTCTGAGCCTTCCCCGGAGGCAGAAGGACGACTCCTCAGGAGGCGCGAGGGCTTCGGAGAAGTCCCGCCGCCTTCCAGGAGGCCTTCTGCTTCTCATTTCCCCCCCCTCGCTCGCCGCCGACAGAGACAAGGGTCGGTCCGCGGCGAGCGAATTTGCGGAAGGGTGGCGGTGTGGCGCGTGTCGTGCCAGTACGCAGGACCCCCAGAATAAGTTTTTGCGATGATTGCACGCGTCGGCGCCAGCTCTGTGCAAGGGACAGAGAGCGGCCAAGCCCTCCCTCACACACCGCGTCCGAAAGATTCGTTCCCCGTCGCGCTGATTTTTTTGTCGGTGGGCTCTTCGGGGCCACAGACCAGTACGAAGGTGCTGGTCGTTCTGGCCGGTAGATCGTCGAGGGGTGACTTGGGAGACCTTGTGAGAGACGATGGGCGCCGTCAGAGAGAGGAAAAAACAACGCCGTCCTGTTTCATATGTTGCACTCATTTCTTCCGACCGACGGGTCAGGAGGCCGTGGAGTTCCAGGGCCTGCTTGTCCTCCCGGACGATCTCGCCCAGGACCAGCCAATGCTTGCCGCGCACCCTCGCCGCGGGCAAATTGACCAACATCCCTTTGTGAACAGCAGCGTCAAACCCCCACTCGAGGTCCAGAAAGGCCAGGTACGTGGGCACGCCATGGTAGCGCCGCAGCTCTCCCAGCATCACCGCTGCCAGCACCACGGAGATAGGGTCGCTCGCCAAGCTGATCGTTCCCGCAACAGTCCTGGACCGCCCCCTCAGCCCACGGCGCTTCTTGCAACTGGGCCATGTCCAAGCCAGCCGAAACAGCTCACAACCAGGCCATCGAGCGGACGACGCGTGGGCCTCTTGTTCATGCCTCGGCGTGCACTGCCTCACCGCCCATAGCAGGGATGCGATACCCATGTGACAGCCCATTTGCCTCGCTGGATCCGCCAGCCCCGCCGAGACCTGTCGCCTCGCCAGCACCGTCGACTCAAGAGAAGCCGCTGCGCAGCACGGCGTGCTGTCTGCCCGCCGCCAACCGACCGATCGCTGCCGCGACCTCGTCTGCACGAGGCCCTCCCGCTAGTCCGCGCCAGCTCTCCGCCGGCCCTGCCCACCACCACCCCTCCCTCCCTGGTGGCGCCGGCCCGCGCCCTGCGAATCTCGCATGCTCCAGCGCTCGCGCCACCCCGAGGTCCTGCTCGAAGGTGTTGCGCGCCCGAGCCATGAGGTCAGCGACTAGCGTCTCAACCTGCTGCTGCCTCGACATCGCGCGGCCACGCGCAGTGGGGGGTACGGAGAGGGGGGAGTGCTTCTTGGGAGCACCCCTGCTCTTTAGAAGGCGAAGGGCCTCGTCTGTAGATGTAGGGCCGGCGCCTTCTAAGAAGCAGCCTGCTTTCCGAGAAGCCTCCCCCCTTCCCCCTGCCCCCTTGTGCTCGCCACCAAGTCGCACCGCCCGCCGCTGTCCTCCACTGCGACCTGAAACGCGGGCCCCCCGACAGGTCACGATTCGACAAGCAGTTTGTCCGCCCTGCCTGGGCCCCTCGCTCGTAGCTCGGCGGGCCTCCCGAGAGCCTCCCGCCGCTGCTGCCTCCTTGAACTCGGCATCAGACGGGCATGCATCGGGGAACGCACCCAAGCTCCCCCCTCCTCCTCCTCCTCCTCCTCCTCCTCCTCCTCCTCCTTCTCCTCCTCCTCCGCCGCATCCTTCCCCCTTCCCCCTCCAAGTCTCGGGAAAAAAGTGGCACGCGTGCCCTGGCTCTTGCACCAAGGAACTGGGAGGGACAGGAGGCTTTCGCCTCCCTCCTCCAGGAGTTCCCTTCTGTGGCCCGGGGGGGGAGGGCGAACGACGAACCAACGAACGAACGAACGACGACGACGACGACGACGACGACGACGACGACGAACGAAGATACACAAGAGTCCGGGCTCTAGAACACAGCTGCGCAAGAGGAGGGTCTCTCGACCCCATCCCGACCCGCTCGGCCTGCTCCTCGTCTTTGAGCCTCCCCCTCCGCTCCCGTCCCCGCATCTCGGGCCGGACGACAGGGGGGGATTGGGAAAGGGGGGGTTACGAAATTTGCTGCATGCAGCTGGTTTCGGCCTCACCGAGGGGCCCATTCCTCGATACATAGCCGCCTCCGGCGCCGGGAAAATCAGCTACGTGAGCTGATTCTCAAACCCCCCCGTTGCGATCCCCCCCTTTCGCCCGACCCGAGCATCCCCCCCCCGTCCCTCGCCAAGCTTCGCCCCTGAGGCGCTCGCGAGTCACAGCGCTCTCCGGCGGCCCCTGGGGGGCGCCCGCGGCGAGGCGCGGGCCGCTGGAGGGCACCCCCCGAGGCCTGAAGACCGCCGGGCGCCGACGAGTGTGCCCGAGGGCGTCGCTGCCCGCGCCTCGATCGTTGCCCCGCCCCTCCCCGCCCCTCTCGGGCCAGACGAAAGGGGGGGATTGGGAAAACGGGGGGTTACAAAGTTTGCTGCATGCAGCTGGCTTCGGCCCCACCAAGGGGCCCATTCCTCGATACATCGACGCCTCCGGCGCCAGGAGGCGCCCGGAAAATCAGCTACGTGAGCTGATTCTCAAACCCCCCTTTTGCTATCCCCCCCTTTCGCCCAGCCCGACCCTCCAACCCTGGAGCCCTGGCTTTCGGGCCACACCACTCGGCTCTCTTCGGCGGCAGCTCGGGGACGACCCCGGCATACCCCCGCAGTGCCGCAGGCGAGGCGCAGCGCCGCGCACCGTCGACTACATCGGCGCTGCAAAAGTTTCGCCATACATTGAGAGTCGATCATCTTGCATAAGCAGGGGCAAATCCCGCCCGGTGGGATTTCTAAAGCCGTTTGATTTTACGTCGGGAATTTAGATTACCCCGTTTTAAGTCTGTATTGTTATAGTAAGGGATGAAATCCCACTTTTGAGAATCCTAGATCTTTGATCCGACCGCTCTTGACTCAGTCCGCTAGGATTCTAGGGGGGAAGGGGGTGCCCTCGGGTCTGTCCCTGCCTAGCGATGCCCCTGCCCGTCCCTCTTCCCTCCTCCACCCCATCCCGTCTCATTCGCCCTCCTCGTCTTCTCCCCTCCCTCTCCGCCCCCTCCCGCATCCCCCTCCCCGTTCCACCTCTTTGGAGAGAAGACACAGCGGCGTCAACAGAAGCTGTCGACGGGCCGCGCGGATCGTCGACAGTTTCATGTGTACGCCTTTTCTCGAGAGATGGGGGGCGGCAGGGGGGACGGGGAGGGGGATGCGGGAGGGGGCGGAGGTGGAGGAGAGACGAGGAGGAGGAGGATGAATTGGACGGGACGACGGGATGGGGTTCACGGAAGAGGGACGGACAGGGGCATCATCAGGAGGGACATATTCGAGGTTCGATGAGTATGCCGTTTTGGACATGAATTGTGTTGGAAGGGGCGCCGCAAGGCCGAGGCACACTGGATATGGATAAACATCGAGGCTCTAGGGGCAGATGATCATTCACGTCCCAGTACGATTCGTGCTTCTCGGGAGGGGAGCCCAGAACTCCAAGCTGCAATGGATCTGGACGCAAGTATCGCCCGCAGTTTATTGTTCCGTTGCGGGTTCATGCGGCGTTGGCCCGCCGGCGACGCCAGCGATGGTGTTCAAGGTCGAAGTCTGCGACGCGGAAGCACTGAGGGACGCGATGACGCCACCGGGCCCGACTGAATTCAACCTCGAAAGATCGGGGCCGCCATCGGTTCAAGGTTGAAACATGAACGCGGTGTCAAAAACCTTGGATTCGGAATCCTGGGATGTGCTTCTATTTGTTTGTGTGGCCCTGGGCGCACTTCATCTATGCCGTCTTATTTGTGCATCCTGGGGTCGGGGGCCTTCGAGTGATCTGAGGGTTTGGGATGTTTGGGCCAGCGGAGGGTCTCATGATCATTTTGAAGGGTATTCTTCTGTCCTTGGTCCGACCACGGCTGCTCCGCGCCGCGCCCCCCCGTCGTGATCCCGCGCAAGCCCCGCAGGCAGGGACTGTGCGCCAAGGGCGCGGCGGGGCCCGCCGGGCACGCTCGCGGCGCCCACTGAGCTGGCCCTCCTCGCCCTCCTCCTCCTCCTCCTCCTCCTCCTCCTCCTTCTCCTCCTCCTCCTCCGCGTCCTCGTCATCCTCTTCCTCCTCCGCGTCCTCGTCCTCCTCTTCCTCCTCCTCCTCCTCATCATCATCATCATCATCATCATCATCATCATCATCATCATCATCATCATCATCATCATCATCCTCCTGCCCCGCCGGGAGCGGCGCGCCTACCCATGAGAGGGCGTGCGCTCGCCGCCCCGCTCGGAGGGGTCGCCACGCTCCTGGCGCTGCGGGCTGCGGCGCCGAGGGGCGCGCAGGGGCGGGCGGCGAGGGGACGAGGGGGGGGGGGGCACGAGGAGGAGGAGGAGGAGGAGGAGGAGGAGGAGGAGGAGGAGGAGGAGGAAGAGGAGGAGGAGGAGGAGGAGGAGGAGGAGGAGAGGAGGAGGACTGCATACGGAGAAGTGCGGGGTGCCTGCGGAGCAGGGAGGGGGGCGATAGGGATGAGAAATGATCGGGATGTGTAGGCGGATGCAGAGGGGCAGGAGGGGCAGGAGCACAAGCAAAACCTCGATTGTCCATGTATGGCCTTTCTGGTTCGAAGGGGTTCAATACCGGCCAGCGTATGGCAGGAGGAGTAGCCTCCTCCTGTGTAACTGAAGCGCAGTGCGCGGTCGGTGCAGGGCATGTCGGGAGAGTATGTCACCATGTGCGCTCGGGAGCGGGATTCCTCCTCGCCCTCTCCCCGCCATACCTCCTGACGGTCGGGAGCTTCTGGATAGCGTGTCGCTCCGCCGGTTCTGGCCCACCACGCTTCGGCGCGACACGCTATCCACTTCCCAGTCCCCAGGCGCCAACGTCCCGAGCTTTTCCCAGCCTCCCGCCCCGCAGAGCGGAGCGACAAGCTATCCACTCGCAGGACATGGCGTGTCGCTGGGGCCGGCGGTGCGACACGCTATCCCGAAGTTCCCGACCGTATCCCCTCCCTCGCCGGGCCGCATCCGTCCTCTCTCCTGCCCCGTCGAGGGGCTGCTTGCGCGAGGACGTTGCGCGCGCGCGAGCGGCAAACCTCGCAGCTTGCCAGGGGCCACTGGCAGTCGTAGCGGCGGCGGCGGCGAGAATTTCGGAGAGGAGGGACGAAGAGGAGGAACGAGGGACTATGGAGAGGAGGCGGAGACTGAGGAGGAGGAGGAGGAGGAGGAGGAGGAGGAAGATGGAGGACCAGAGCAAGCCACATGTGCGTAAAACGGTGAGGCAAGAACGCAACCGCGTCCTGAGCCCCCTCCTCGCATAGGACGATGAAAGTGCTCACGAGTCCGAGTGCGGGAGTGGGCCCGCCTGACAGACGAACGCCCCGCGGCCTGCCGTTCGGGCGAGATCCGATGCTGTGAGGGATCCACAGTCAACAGATGCCTTCAAGGGCAAAGCCAAGAACGATTAGGGCACTTTCCAGCGGTACCTCCGCTTTGAGAGGGACCTGCCCCCCCCATCCGTAGAAGTGCTGCACGGCGTCAACGATCTTGCCAAGACGCCGAGGAAGCCTCACCGTACCCATTCCCGGCTCAAGGCACGGCCGGTGTGGCTTGCACTCCGACCTGTCCGCCGCGGAAACACGTGCGCCAGGACCGCGCTCTTCACGGAAGCAACATCCAATTTCCCGTTCCATAACATTCCCCGACGTCCGCCGGTATGATTTTTCCCATCCGCTGCCCCAGAGGTCCCGAGCCCTTTTCCGAGGGGGAGGGGTGTTCGTCTAGGGTCCATCTGTGATGGTCCCTGACCCGAGAACGGGCCCCGTAGGCCGAGGTGGGTGGAGAAGCCGCCGGGCGGAAACCGTCATATCCGCGGAGGTCTGGGCTTACACCGTCTTTATGGCACCTGCGGTTGCCACGACTACCATCACGAGCATGAGGACGACCGTCAAGAACACCTTCCTCGAGCTGCTGGCCGACGGCGACGCCGAAGACAGCGCTGTCAGCGTGCCGCTGCGGCGGACCAGCTCCAGCCCCTGCCTGCTGACCTACGGCGCAGGGGCCCGCCAGGACCACCCAGACGTCCAGCCGCTCCAACTTTTCCGATGCGTGGGTCGGCGGCGAGCGACGGGGGGAAGTGAGAAGTTTTCTGTGTCTTCCGGGAAGACGTAGAAAACTTGTCAGAAGGCCAGGGCACTTCTGAGCCCTCTGATATGGCCATCCCCTTCTCACTTCCCGCCCACGCTCGCCGCCGATGTGCGCCCCGGAGGTCTGGATCACTTCCCCAGAGCCGGCTTTTTGTCCTGAGTCGGTTTTTGACGGTCCCGAGGCCCGGCGAGGGCCCCCAGAGTCCGAAAGCGGCCAGAAACCCGCCGCTCCAATTTTTGCTGGAGCGTCGGATCTCTGGGCAGATCGCCGATGACGTCTCCTGCCCGGACCTGGCGCCAGACGTGGAGAGCTACGACTCCGAGGACGACGACGTCTGCTGCCTCTGGAGGCCCGCCGGGCGCGCGCCGCCGGCGCTGCCGGGCCCCAGCGACCTCCTGCATGTCCAGCCGTGGCCCTGCGCGCCCGCCAAGGAGGGACGGCGAGCGAGGGGGACCCCGGGGCTCGCCGCCGATGTGCGTCCCTCCTCGTCGTCGTCGTCGTCGTCGTCGTCGTCGTCGTCGTCGTCCTCCTCCTCCTCCTCCTCCTCCTCCTCCTCCTCCTCCTCCTCCTCCTCCTCCTCCTCCTCCTCCTCTTCCTCTTCCTCAAGCCAATTTTGGCTCAAGCCATTTTGGCCTCAAGCCATTTTGGCTCAGGCCAATTTTGGCTCCTCCTCCTCCTCTTCCGCGTAGCCATTTTGGCTCAAGCCATTTTGGCTCAAGTGCCATCAGGGGCAGGCACCTGGGCGGGCAGCTCTTCTTGAAAGAGCGTTCTTGGGGTCGTTCCCAAGCGGACACCTTCCGTTTCTTCTGTTCGAATTTCAGTCCTCTGGCACCGCCGCCATGGGAGACTCCGCCGATGTGATCGCGCAGCTGACGCAGGCGATTCAGAACACAGTCTCGGGGTTGCAGACGCAGCTCGAAACTCGCTTCCTTGCCATCGAGACCAACGTGTGCACCCTGTCCCAACATGTTGGCACCGTCGAGAGCCACATCACCGCGTTGACCAACCAGCTCAAGGATGTTGTCAAGATACAGCAACTACAAGGGCAGGAGCTGCAGATGCTACGATCAAATCGTCCAGCATCGTCGGCTGCTTCCACACCATCTGGGACCCAGCACCCGTGGCATCTCGACTCGTCAATGGTGACGGAAACAGGCGTCGTCGCGGAGAAGATGACACAGGCGGTGACCCGACCACTAAGTTCATTGGCCACTTTCCTCGTCCTGTGCTTGAGCGAGTTCGACGGCTTTACTTTGATGGCCTGAAAGCGCAGTTCCCCGACCTCCTCGCCAATTTGGAAACGAAGTTCTTCGCAATTGCTCAGAGTTACCAAATCATTTTCACGAACAAGAGTGACGCTGCAGCTTTTCAGAGTGAGGCTAACCGTGTGGGAGTGGTTTGGACGGATCCTCGGTCACAAGCTCAATATCAACTACGCGTGCGGGCAGACCTCCCGCAACCTGTTCGTAACAAGATGCGTGCGTTCCACAAGACGTACCTCCCTGTGCGCGAGCCCTTGCAGGCATCTTACTTGTGGTCGCCCGACTGCTAGCGCGGCATCGACGGGTCCAGAGGGGTGATGAGGGTCAAGAACGACACAGACGTCTGGAACCTGATCGAGATCAAGCAGGTGAACATCCGCAACGGTGAGGAGCATTTCTGCTTCGAACCCAACTTCGTCGAGCTCGAGGAGTGGGGGATCAGCAAGGAGACGAGCGTGGCGATTCTCGAGACCGAGACTCCTCCGTCACCAGAAGGCGAGAATATGCAGATCTGAAGGCTTCCCTCGCAAGCGACTAATGCTTCCCAGCGTGCTGTGCCTGTGTACAGTCCCTCTCCTCCCTCCTCGTCCGGCTCCAGCTCCGACTCCAGCTCAGGCAGCACTGAAGGTGGACCTGGGCCCATACCGTATTTGCCAGATATGACATGCAAGCTCGTACGTATAAGTGTGTGAGTGACCTTATGAGTGTTCGCGGCGCTGCATGCATGCAGGAAACGCACGGCACGAAGGGTGATGTGCACACGCTTGAGAGAAGTGTTAAGGACCACCTTCATTTTGGCAGCTTCTGCGTTGATCAACCAGGAGCTGGAGGTGTCATCACCAGTATTCGGAAGTCGCTTAGGAACCAGTTTGACAGGGTAGCCTTCTCAGAGATTGCGAAGGGGAGAATCGCGTCTTTGAGATTGTATGGGGCGCTCGCTTCACTCCAGATTATCAACGTTCACTTTGTCCCAGGGCTCACGCGTGGTGAACTGATTGGTCAGTTTCAGAGAGTGAAGCGTGCGATGTGTTCGGCAGCGACCACCACAGTATTTCTTCTTGGCGATTTCAATTTCCTAGAAACTGGTGATGTTAGGTACTCTGTTCTGGGAGATATGGAGCGGTATGCGCCGCCCAGGTCTGCGACTGAGTTTAGGAAGTGCTTCCCCTCCCTGCTCGAGATTGCCCCCGCCTCTTTCGCGCATCGAGTGAAGACTGGTGACGCTTTTTCGCTGGCACGCTTGGATCGTATATCTATTAATTTACCTACTGCAGATGTTCTTGACCCGGCTCCTGAAAGTTCCACAAGTTGGCCCCTTACAGACCTCCGCAAGCCCTCTGACCATGCCCCTCTATATCTTAAACTTCAGAGCACTGATCACAGACAGCGTTCACACAATATCCCACCTTGGATTGCAAGGCACCCACGGTTTTATGCTCATGTATCCCATCTACTACATCCTTCGGACCTCTCCGCTCACCCCAACGACCGACTCCAGGAAATAAGACAGGTCATGAAGCATGCTGCTGTGCAAATTTGTGATGTGCTCTCAGACGGTGCTGCCACTGATGAAGAGCGCTTGGCGCGTTCTTTGAAGTCATTGCGTGTTGCTCGTTCCCTACCCGCCCATGCCTGCCAATATTCGTGTCCTGCTCTTCTCCGTCACCTTCTCGGTAAAGCTAAATCTGTTCTTCGTGTTTATCCTCCTCCTCTCTCTCTCTCTCTCTCTCTCTCTCTCTCTCTCTCTCTCTCTCTCTCTCTCTCTCTCTCTCTCTCTCTCTCTCCGTACTTTGATGGCGCTCGCTGTGAATGGACGGACAGACCTGGGCTCCGTGCGCATTTTAACGATCTTACCAGGCGGGCGCTTGTCGCCGAAGAGCGGGGAGAGGCTGCTCGCGATATGGCGCCATCTAAGAAAGAACAGCATCTCGCCATAATTCGAAGGCTATCGCATGCACGGGCCAAGAGTCGCCCGAAGATCTTCCTTGCTGCTGTCATAGACGACAATGGGTCTGAGCTTATCGAGGACGCTGCCATGTGTCAAAAGCTCTCCGAATACCGGGGCAACATGTTTTCTCGGGCCGAGGTTGACTTCACGGGGGCTTCCAGATCCTTGGACCCCCCCCCCCCCCCCCCCCCGCACCGACAACTACCAGTTCACCAACTCCACCCGCCAAAGGTTTCCCTGGATCCTGACTGAAGACCAGTTTTTCGACGCCCTCAAATCCAAGGTCGAGCAGGCCCTATGGGGGCACTATCTTGCCTTCATGAATGCCCAGGAGCTGTGTGATAATTTCAACTATTCCAAGTTAGCCGTCGCTCCTGGGGATGTTGCTAAAGCGCGTGGAGACACGCGGCCGCTCGCCCTCAGTAACACCGACAATAAGATCGTCTCGACATGTATCGCATATCCGCTCACGCAGTTCGCTAGTTCATACTGGTCAGCGTGGGTTTATTTAATCGCTTCGCTCATTCCGCCGGCCCATAATGTCGCACCGTGGTCGCCTGTCAGAGTGGTCGTTTGCAGTGTGGAGCTGCGGCGTCGGGAGCTGTGTAGTGTTGGGGGCGTTCTTGGGGCCCTCTTGGGACGTCCTGGAGGCCTCTGGGGCCGTCTTGGAGCCGTCTTGGGCCGTCTTGGGGCCCTCTTGGGGGCCTCTTGGGCCCTCTTGGGGCGATCTTGGAGGCCTCTTGAGCCGTTTAGGGGCGTCGGGGAACCGAAAAGGTTGAAACGCCCAAATCTGTCCACCACCAAAGGAAAAGCACAGGTTTTTGTCTCTTGGGGCCCTCCTGGGAGTTCTCTAGGAGGCCTCTTGGGGCATCTTGGAGGCTTCTTGGGCCATCTTGGAGACGTCTTGGGCCGTCCGGAGGCCATCTTGGGCGTCGTGGAGCGATCTTCGGGCGTCTCGGACCGATTGTGTTGGGGGCCTCTTGGGGCCCTCTTGGGGCGATCCTGGAGGATTTGGGGGAGTGCCCCGGGCCCCGCCCGGGGTGCTTTTGACCCGGGGGCCCCCAGGGGCCGCCCCGCGCGCGCGAACAAGAAATACTGTTTACCAGTTACCGGAGATCTTAGCACGCCTCTGGCCCGTTGGGCCGGCGAATTTCGGGTCGCTCGCTCGCCGACGACATCATGGTCGAATTCAACGGCCGATTGATGATGCGACAAGCGCTTGATAACTCTCAGGCTGCTGGAGGCGCCCTGTTTGACATGAAGAGCGCCTTTCCGTCTGTGCGCAATTTATGGATTTTTTCGTGCTACGACGATGGGGTTCCCCTGTTTTCTTCATCAGCTGTATCCTTTCACTGCGCAAGCGTGTGTGGTGTAGTATAATCATACGGGCCTCCGACGTTGGTGGTTCCTGGGCTCTACGCGGGGTCAAACAAGGGGATCCTCTTAGTGGCTTGTTATCCACCTTCGCTTTCGACCAGATTATTTGTGCTATTGCTGGGCTAGGTCTATATTGGGGGGTGGAGGTGGGGCTACTTGCACCGCAGATTGCTTGGTCACGTGTCGGGCAAATGCTGCGTGCCCGCGGAGGCGAGGTCAAGGCTTTGGCTACAGGCCTTACCGCTGCCTGTGCAGCGCACAACATGTTCGCAGGCTCGGTCTGCTCGCACGTCAGCCAGTTTCACGTCGTCACGCGTGAGGCCCTTTCCCAAGGGCGAGAAGCACAGCAGTTACTGACTTGGGCTCCAAGGCCCAGCATCCCCCCCACGATACTCCTGAAAGCCACAGAAGTTGGCATGAAAACCGAGCCTCCCTTTAGAGGTGATGCCACGTGCTGCGTTAATCCGCACAGCGGCCCAATCTGATATATTCTATACATTGGTTGAAGTATTGAACGCCAAGGTTGAAGCTGACGATTTCTGTCTTACACACAAGTGGTCTCGGGCATATTCCGACTCGATCTTTTTTCCAAATGCATAGAACTCTTGAGGCCCACGAATCGAGGTTTGGGAGCATAGACGTATCCAACGAGAAATCCACCCAGAAGAAGGTCACCATCGACCTGAGAAAGTACATGCTGGGGTTGTCAATCCAGTCTGCGATTTCTCCGAGGATCCTGAAGCTGCACCCGGAGGCCTCCAGAAGTGATATTGACCTGTGAATCTTCCGTCTTTGTATGATTGGACAGAAGTTGCCGCCTTTTATTCACGCCTCTGTGCTGAAAACGATCTGCAATGCATGGAATCCCACCCGTCGATATAGGCAAAAAGTTGGCCCCTGTGTTGTTGGTTGCCAGAACCTTGCTGCTGACAGTCTTGATCATTATGTCCGATGTCCTGCCATTGTTGGGTATGTTCGCTCTCTCCTTCGGCACCTACCTCTGAGCTGGGGATCAGATGTTTCGCATGTTGCTCTCCCCCACCTCTGGCGGGCCAGCGCGTCTGAAACCCTTCCCTCGCACGCCATTGCTATAGATTGCATTCACTCTGCGTTCTGCTGTCTTAGGTCTGGTCGTCCTTCGTCGTCTCTCGCCCGTGGTGCAATCATCGGCCGGCCGCGTGCTAGTGCACGTCGTTCTCGCCAGGTGCGGGCCTTAGCCGTCGGGCCGTGAAGGTAGGGGCTGGGACCCCGCCTGGGGTGCGCCTCCTCCTCCTCTTCCTCCTCCTCCTCTGGCCGTGTCCCTGCGCGCCCGCCAAGGAGGTGCGGAGAGAGAGGGGGACTTCTCCGAATACGTAAGCCATCGCGTTTTCTGAAAAGTCCCCGCCCCCCGGGGAAAAGGACGATTTTGGAGGTTCCGGAGAGATCTTTCCTACTCCGCAGTCGGCCAGTCGGCCCGTCGGCCAGAAAGAGTCGGCCGGGTTCGTGGGGGGAGTCTCAGGCGACCGCAAACATGGACCAAGGGGGCGTGGATTAGCGACGGGGCGGGGCCCATTTCCATGGGGAATGGCGGATTTCCGCCGCCGAGCGAGGCGGCACCGGCCGCGTTTTGGGGATGGCACCTCCCCCGATCCATGGATTTGGCGACCGCGCGCCGAATCCACGGATCGGTGCTTGCGCGCCCCCGAGGGTCGGAGAGTGAACCCCAGTGCCCCGAAAATCCACGGATCGATGTTTGCGCGCCCCCCGAGATCACGAAGGGGGGGGGGCCGGCGGAGCGCACCGCATCACCGACGCCCCCCGAAGGCCAAGCTGTGGCCTCAGCTGGCTTTGCTCCAGATCCTGCCTGCACACCCCCCCCGTCGCTCGCGCCTCGCCGCCGGGGCGCGCTTTCGCGCGCCCCGGCCCTGGGGCGTGCGTGCGCGGCGCCGAGGAGGGGAAGCTCTGCTCACATGGCTGCGTGGCGTCTCAGTTCTGTGTGTTCCGGGAAGGTTCAGGAAACTCCTGACAAAGGGGAGGGACTTCCGAGCCTTCTGAGCTGGGTTTCTCCTTCTCACGCCCCTCCGGGCTCGCCGCCAAGTCGTCACGATCGAAATGGGTACAGAGAGAATGGGTGCGAAGACCAACAGCAGTTCTTGTTCATTTTGAACAGGACTCGCTATCGGTGTCGCCGCGGACGTGGTCCACCCCTGCCCGAAGGCACCCTGCCCAACAGCGGCCGCTGTCGGTTTTGGACAACACCTGCTGTTGGGCATCGCACCCATGTCTGCCGCACATACTTCGGGCGTCCAACGAGGAGGGGCCCGACTGCTGCTCCAAGCGGCTCCCCGGCCTCAGCGACCTCCTCCAGCTCCAGACCAACAGCAAGCCCACCACGGCAGCCGGCCACTCGGCAGAGTGACACTTCACCGGCGTGAGCTCTGGGGCGCAGCTTTCGGGGTGTCTGGGCGGGGCGTCTGAACCCACGCATGCAGGCCGCTGCTGCCGCATCGCGCGCAGCGATCGGCAAGCAGCGCGCCACAGGTCGCTCTCACTCCGGCGACGCGCGCGCCGAGGAGTCCTGCAGCCGAAGCTCCGTGTGGCGGGCGTTCTCTGGCCACGCCGCTGAGGAAACGTTGGACTGCAAGACGTCTGTACCGGATGTTCAGGTCGGACGCGCGCCCCCGAGGCGGACACACACACACACACACACACACACACACAAACACACACACGCACACCCACACACACACACACACACACACATACACACACATACACACACATACACACACATACACACACACATACACATACCCACACACACTATTCCACACTATTCCCTGAGATCCGAGGCTTTCAACAAAACCAACATCGCAACAACGATCCCGACCCGAGCCCTGGACCCTGTCTTTCTGCGCCATCTCTCGAGCGGGATCGGTCTGTGACGGCCCCGGGGCCCGAAACCGAGCAAGAACGCCCGATGTGAACGAGTTTCCACGCCAGGATCTCAGGGTTGGTCTGTCCTTACGCGCCCCGTTGCGAACAACGAGCCCGAGGCAGCCACGGAGCCCACCCACACGCCGTTCGGCAGGCTGCTGCGGTCGCAAATCATGGGAGCCTGGCGTACCCTGTGAATTCTGTCTTTGGCGTCGATTGGGGTCGACTAGCGCCTGGGAGTCGATGAGATAGTGCCGGTGTAGCGTCGGCTAGCGTCGATTAGCGTCGATCTAGCGTCGAGTGGCGTGGACCAGCGTGGATCAGCGTGGCGTGGACCAGCGTGGACCTGTTTGATTCCTCGTTTGGGCGGGTTTGCGAAGCAGCTTCGCGCGTCGGGGTGGTGAAGAGTGGGGGGCGGGGGATTGGCTGCTCTGCGTCGCGTGAGCTGCCACCGCAGGCTGCTGGCGCTGCGGGGCCTCCGCTCCCCCGCCGCCGCCGCGGCGCCCGCCACCCGCACGCGCCTCAGCACCCGCGCGGCGGCCTTCGTGCCCGGCGCCCCGTCGCCCTGCGGCGCCCCCGCGGCGGCGCCCCGGCAGGCGCTCTTCGGAGCGGCGACGGCGACGGCGACGGCGACGACGACGAGGACGACGACGACGAGGACGACGAGCAGGAGGACGACGACGAGGAGGAGGACGACGGCGACGACGACGACGAGGACGACGAGGACGAGGACGAGGAGGAGGACGACGACGACGACGATGACAACGAGGACGACGACGACGACGAGGACGACGGCGACGACGACGGCGACGATGACGGCGACGGCGACGGCGACGACGACGACGACAACGACGACGACGGGCCTCGGGGCCGTCCGAAAACGACCCAGGGCGAAAAACCGGCCTTGGGGAAGTGGTCCAGACCTCCGGAGCCCACTGCATCGAAGACTTTGGACCTGCGGGATGTTCGGGGAGGCTGCTGTACCCTTCCCTCGTTTTGGCCGTCTGGGGCCCAGTCAGAGTGCAAGCCAGGGGAGGTCCACGGAGCAGCGGTATCGGCACACCTCTGTTCAGCCACGCGCAGAGGGGGGTGGGGGGAGGGGGGGGGGCTTCTTAGAAGCACCCCTGCTTCTTAGAAAGTGCGGGCCTCATCTATAGATGTAAGGCCGGCACCTTCTAAGAAGCAGCCTCCTTCTAAGAAGCCCTCCCCCCTCCCTCCACCCCCTTGTGCTCGCCGCCAATCTGTTGCCAGAGGCACGCAGTGGCATGAGCAGAAAGTGGCAGAGCCTCTCGGAGGTCCGCGCGGCTTTCTCGGATCGGCGCTGGACCCCCCCTGGCGGCGCCGCACCTGCCGCCCCCTGGCGCGCTCCACGCGCCCGGAGAGGGTCCGCCGCCGCTGCCAGAACTAAAACACACACACACACATACACATACACATACACACACACACACACACTTTTTTGATCTGCGGCTCCAAGGACGATTCCAGAGAGCGGGTCGTATCAAGCATGGGGCGGCACGCAAGATAATTCCCAGCGGGCCAAAAGCCAACGCTGGAGTGCACATGCGAGGGACAAAATGAACCTCATTACAGAGAGCGGGTCGCAGCTAGCTTGGGGCGACAAGCGAGATAATTGCCAGCGGGCCAAAAGCCAACGCCGGAATGCACAGGCGAGGAATGAACCTCATTAGGCCGAGCACTAGCATGACGGGAAGCAGATGATTGCCAGCGGGCCAAGAGCCGACGCAGGAGAGCACATGCGAGGGACAAAATTAGCCTCATTACGCCGAACGAACACGGCACCCAGTGAAATCGGGGCGACGCACAGTGGCGCCAACACCCGTCAGATCGGGAAGAGAGCACGCAAAGCGGACAACTGCCAACCAGGAGCCCTCACTCACGGAGCAACTGAAAGCTCAATGCTGGCTGCTCGCAACCAGTGGGGGGGAAGCGCCACTGGGCAAGGTCGTCAGTCACCGAAATGCGTCGAGGGGAGTGTAGGGGTTGGGCCTTAGGCCGACGACCCAATCCGGCCAAGGTGCGTGCCCAGGCGGGCAAAAAGGGCCCATGTCCGAGAACGGGGCCAAAGTGGTGAAGGCGACGTAGGCGCCTTCCAGGGGGGGGGCCACAGAGCGGTGTCGACGTAGAAGGTGCGTAGTGTAGGACGACTGGGGCGGGCCTTAGGCCGGCGGTCCCAGCCGCTCGATGACCCAGGTTGGCGAGTCGGGCCCATGTCCGAGAGAACCAGGCCAAATCCAACCGTGTGCGTGGATTATTCCAGCCGACGCCACACGGACTAAGTCCACGGTGCACCGTGGGAAGCTAGACGCAGCGTGGCCAAAGAGGTGTCACACATCCAGGTGGTGCTGAGAGTGCCACGACCTGTCACTGCGGTGAAACAAACACGTCGAACGTCCTGCCATGGCGGTCGAAGTGAAGTAGGGGGGGCGCAGCCGATAGCCGCAGGTCAGTGAATACGTTGGGGGAAGGACGAGAGCGAAGCGGCCACCGTCAGTCAAGGACCCAGCCAGGCGTCGTCGGAAGGCGGTCAGGAGGGTGCCTGCCTGGTGGGGGGGGGACGCCGCCAGGTCGCTGCCGTCGGATGCGCTGCTTATGGAGCGAAAGGGGGGAGGGCCTTCGGCCTGCAGCCCCAGCCATCCAGCGTGAGTGCCCAACGGGCACGACGGGCCCATGTCAGTGTACAAGGCCAAAGTGAACCGTGTGCCGGAAATATGGCAGCCGTTACCACACGGGCTCAGGGCCCACGCTGCACCGTGGGAGTCTAGACGCAATGTGAGTGGTGCACCTCGACCCCAGGAGGTGACACAGCTGTATTAAGGCCGGGGCCTGTCACTGCGGTGAAACCAGTGACTACCCACGGAGGTGGCCCGTGGGGACAGCCGTCCGCGTCGTCTATATCCTCATGAACTGCGCGCCTGTGGGCAGCAAAGGTGCGGTTGAGGACCATCGGGCTGCCGACCCATTGGGCCCCACAAGGCACGTCGGGGGCCCATGTGGCCCACAGGGTCAGCGCGATGGAGACCACTTTGTATAGGGAGGTGGAGGCAGTCCCCAGCTGCCCGAGGTCGATGTCTTCTAGAAAGCATGCGTTGCGTTCTGAGACGGGCTGAGTGGCGACTCGTTGTATTGACATAATCAGGGGGGAAAAGCCTTGAGCCGCAGACGAGCTGCAAGAGAATGCGATGGGGCCCTCTCCGACTGTCCCTCGACGATTGAGCTGCCTTCCTGGGCCTGGGGAGACGGAGGGGGCAGCGCTCCGATAGGATAGACCAGTCAGGCTCACTTGCGGGCGAAGTCCCGCCCGCGCTGCCGTTTGTCAGCGTACTGAGCGTCTCCTCTGGGGGCAGTGCGTTTCTCCCTGGTCCTCCAGTCGGAGTCAGCCCACGTGTCCTGTCGGTGGTCCCACCCTTCCCATGCCTGCCATGATTCCCATCGAGCGGCGGCACTGGGTGCGCCTGTCTGTTCGGCAACCCTGTAATCGGTGTACACCGAAGGGGAACGAGTGGCCTCTTTTGGTTTGCTCCATGGGTACCGTCGATCATCCCCGGTGGGCCCGCTTGAGGCAGCTGCTTGCGCGGCGCCCCTGTCGTCGGCGGGCACCGGGGGGGGACATGGCGTCGTCTTGCTGCCGTCGGCCCATGGATACGGGCGACCGCCACCCCTGGGTCCTTCGGGTGTGTGTGTGTGTCTTGGTGTCAAGCTGTAGTTGCTTGCGATGTCTGTCCGTAATGGTTGGCCAGTCTACGCGGAGCTGGTGCTCGTCGTCCATCTTGTAGGCGTCGAAGCTTGCTTTGTCCCATGCCTGGAGGAAGTCTTCGCATAGCTGAACCGAGTTCCTCTTGGGGTCGGACTTGATGTTGACCCATGGGCCCCAATGCTTGCTGCCTGCCTTACGGACCCAGGCGGCCCAGATCCCGTTGAAGGCGCACCCCAGCGTCTTCTGCAGTCGGATGATCTTGTCTTGTGCTGGCTCGACCTTGTTGGCGTCTGCTTCGCTGATTGACTTTAAGTACATGGGGAGACCGCCCATGAGGTCATCAGGGCGCGCTGGTGGGATGGATGCTACCTGAGGCTCGCGCCCTCGGCCTGAGCTGCGATGCTGCCAAGAGGCGGGTGGGCTCAGTGGCGGGCGGTCTGTGCGGCCGAGTGAGGCATCCTCAGGAATAGGGGGTGGTCGGCGCTCTGGCTTGTTTTCAACTAGCCTCAGCTTCCTGTCGTTCAGCTTCCTGTCGTCGCACATTGCGTCCTGGAATGTGCGCGCGTATTCCCTGACGTACGGCGACCAGGCTTTTGACTCGACCCTCTGTGGGGGTCTGGTCCACAGGATCGGCGGACTGTGGGAGGCCTCACTGTCGCTTCGCTCTGGGATGTCGGCCTCGACTACTTGGCGTGCGGGACTGGCCTGAGCCACGGAGTCATTCCTGTCTGGTTGGAATCCATGAGCCTGCCATTCTGACTCGGATGGGTCCCAGTCAAGCTCCTCCTCGCCGCCGCCACTTCCATACTTTTGCGGGGACGGAACATCTCCTCCCTCTCCGTCAGGCTGTCCTGGTGCGGCAGGCGGCCGGGGGATAGCGTGGTCAGGGGAGGGGTCGGATGGGGTCGCCTGGGGCTTGTTGAGCCAAACGGCAGTGGGGGATCCTTCTTCTTCAGCAATGCAGGTCTTCGTGACCTTCCGCGAGCTGGCGAGGAGTTCTGTTGTTCCTTCTGCGAGGTCGTCCTTCATTTGTGATGGAAAGGTGGTTAGCGTATCCAGTGGCTGCCGCTGGGGGCACTGTCCTTTCTGGCTGTCGAGTTTGTCAACAAAGCACCGCCATGCCTCCTGGTACTTCGAGTTGCTCTCCACTAGGTGCGTGACCACATTGGCCGCAGCTGCCCTCCGCCCGTCCCGCGGGATGCGCAGGGGGTGCCCGTTCCTAGGTATCTCGCCCCCGTAGATGGACTGCAGGAACTGCACCAGGTGCTCGTGGGACCACCCCGACTCGTCGGTCACCTCCCCCACGACTTCCCTTCCCCACCGCTGGGTGTGGGCCACCCAGAGGGAGTAGACTGAGTGACTCCACTCGATCAAAAACTTGACCAACTCGCGGACGGGGCCTCTCGACTGCTCCCCACCGAGACGGCGGGTGGAGTATGTGGGTAGTGGGGGTGCCATGGGTGGTGGGAGAGCCGGTAGTGAATAGCTCTGAGCACCTCCTCCATCTGTGCCTTTTGCGGGCGCGGAGCGAGCTCTGCACGGCCGTCAGCAGTTGCCACTGGTGGGTTGGAGCTCGTGGCTGGCGCTGGGCTGTTTGGGGAAAGATGCGCTGACATGTCGTATATGCCCCACTCCTCTGAGATCTCGCTCATGGCTGGCCTCTTGGTAGGGGGACCTGGGTATATCTCGTTGGAGCATTGGTCCAGTATCAGGTCGAGGGCGCCGGGGGCAATGTCCCAGATGTGAACCAGGCACCTCCTGCAAGCCCAGCTGGCGTTCCACTGCCTCTTGATCCACAGTGATGGCATTGCGCCCCACGGAGGGAGACCTGTTTGCGCAGCGCAGTCCGCGTCCGTCTCTGCGCGCCAAATGAAACAGCCCAAGGCTGGTGCGCCTGGTGGCCACTCAAGCAAGGGGGAAATGGGGGGACAGAAGTCACAGGTGGCTGAGTAGCATTTGGTAAGGTGCACTTCGGTGCCGAACCTGCCATCGGTGAGCCTGTGTGGTGGGAGTGTGGTGCCAGCGCTGGCTGGGCGGAACTGGCGAGGCGTACGTAGGACGAGCTCCTTGAGAGAAGTTGGGGCTGCGGCATCTGATGGCACCCTGAACCCCAGCGGCAGTCGGGCCAGGGAGGGGAGTGTCCTGGCCCTTTTCTGAGCGCGGTTTTCGTCCAGTCTGCGTTTGTGCTCTTGTAGTAACCACTGCATGGGCCTCCTGCAGTTGCGCTCTGTCGTGTCGGGTTCTGGGAGACATATCCCTTTTCTCTCCAGCGAGCTGACCCAGCATTGCTCGCAGAGCCATCTGCAGTTCTTGCCTTCCGCGTACGCCTGCGCACGGTTCTGGGCTAGCAGCTCCCGCGTGTCGTCGTCTTCCCAGGTGCCTGCTGTACCATTTAGCCCGACGCTGGTGCATCCGTCGCAGTTGTAGGTGGCATCCTTCTGCTGCCTGCAGAAGTGCCCGTCGCGTACGAATGGAGGGAACAGTGGGGTTCCCGAGGCCGGGGAAGCAGGGATGTCCTCGTCGAGTCGGTGGTTGGAGATTGCTGTCCCTCCCCCGATGTACTGGAGGTCGGCCATGGTTTCAGGGCTGCCTAGTCCAATCTCTGACCCCGCCAGGGCTGTGTGCAGCTGGCAGATGGAGCACCCTCCACTGTTTAGCTGCGTGACGTCGGCTGGCCGGACCAAAGTCTCCAGCACGCGTAGGGGAGCCTCCAGGGTGAAGCCGTGCTTCTGCATCCCTGCCCATGTCTTCGGACAATTGTGCTTGCCGGCAACCTCGTGGTGATGGGCATACGTGGCCAAGGTGCTAGTGTGGTGTATGACCTCAGCTAGCTTGGTGTGGAGGGTGGCGAGGTCCGCTAGCTGGAAACCCCACGTCTCCGCGAACTGTGTGCGGAACTCCTTGTGAGCCTCCTGCCACGGAAGGCACAGGCCCATCATGGCCTCAAGAATGTCGCCTGTGGCCTCTGGGTACGGGAAAGGCCAGAGTGTGGCGCGGGGCTCGCGCAGCTGTAGCATCATCACCACTAGTAGCACTCGGAGCGTGGGGGGGTTGAGGGGCTGCTTGTCGTCACCGACCAGGGTCCGAGTGAAATCTGCATCGATCTTATCGGGCTGGAGTAGGGCATGTAGGTTCTCCATTCCTGGGTGCACCCTGTGGCGTCTGCATCGGCAGGTGGAGCTGCTCCAAGCCGCGGGAAACTGTGGGAGCGTGCCCTGAGGGGTGCAGCGGCTGGAGGCCTGGGGGCGGCGGTTGCTCCCAACCTTGTGGGGCAGCGGCGGGAGCGATTCGTATGCGACGCCAAGCTGTTTGTCGTGCCACGGCGTGCCCAGTCCAAGGAACCAAACCAAGGCTGCCCACGTGAGGTTATAATCGAGGTTGCTGGCGTCAATTCCGACCTCCACGTCCAAACAGTATCCAAGGTGGCTTCAGGCTTTCCTGTCTGGGGGTGCAGTCCAGACACTGTGTAAAGAAGGATGGCCATCGTGGGGTCGTCCACCAATTTCTTTATGCTATCCAGGAGAGCAGCACTCAACTTATCCCAAGAGAACTGGGGATCGAATGGTGCCGCGATGCGGTCTGCGAAGGTGCTCTCCATTCTCACACACACACACACACATGCACACACATTTTTTTATGAAAAGCAAACACACGAAACAAATACAAAAAACACAATACAAACACACACACACATAACTCCGCGCGGCCCACAGAACTCCGCGCAGCCCTCCGAGACCTCGAAGGTGACGCCGCGCCCTTCGCTCCGACGCGCGGCGCCCCGTCTGTGAGAGGGTGCCTCGACCACCAGGGCAAACGCCGCCTCGGGCCGCAGGGCTGGCCGTGTTGGTCTGCCGTGGAGCCGACTGCTTCGACCTGGGGCGCGTTCGGAGCGCAGGGCGCGGCCACACGAGGCGTGCCAAGAAGGGCCTCGCCCTCGAGGATCGAGGGAGGTGCCGCTTCCTCGGCGGAAGGCCGGCGGAAGGCCAGCGGGCGGCGGTGGAAGTAAAGCGAGGCCGCCTCCGCCGGCGGAAGGCTGGCGGAAGCCGGCGCAAGTAGGGAGTGGGTCCCCAGGAGGAGGTCACTACATGTTTGGGCTCAGGGTTTGCGGAAGGGGGCCACATGTGTATGCCACTTGCCAAGCAGTGGCGAAGCGTCCTGGCTTGCCTACCCACGAGAAGATGTTCTAATAACTCTTTGTGGGTTGCACGGGATATCCTCAGAACAGTTATGGCTGAGTCTGTCTTGCTCCAATGCATTGGGCGTTGGTTCTGAGAGCCCTATTTTTGTTGTAGAGAGTACTTCTGGGTTCTACGAGCATCTCGTGATAGGCCTGAAGGTATGGCGGGACGGTCGGTCCCTGCTCAAACTTTTTGTTCCTCGAGGCGCTCCAGCTGGCATTCCCGCCGCCCGGGCCGCCGAGCGTACGGGAGCCGGCGGCGTCCGCGGCTGCCGCGCCCGCCGCGGCGGAGGCCCCTCTGGCTGCCGCTGGCGGAGGGTGTGCAGAGACCACCACGGTGATTTTCGGCGGCCAGCTTGGGGAGGGAAGTGAGGAGGGGGGCGGGCCTCGGAGTTTCGGGCTCGAGGTTCGAGGTTTCCGGGCGTCGTCGCCGGTGCTCGGCGGTGTTCGAGCCTCGGGATGCGCTCCAGCAGCTGCGCTTCGTCGAGGGCGTTCTGGGTGTGCTCGGATCGTCCCGAACGGCCATTGGAGAGCCAAGTGACGACCAAAAACCCAGCAGGCGTCCGAGAGGGGGCGGGCCTTCTCAGAAGTTTCGGAAGCTCCCGGGCCTTCTGAGAACTGTTCTAAGCGCCCCCGAAGAAACCAAATAACTTGTTTCAGAAGCCCAGAGGGCTTCAGAGAAGCCCAGGCGCCTTCTGAGAGGGCCTGCTTCTCCCTCTCGCTTCCCCCCTTGTTCGCCGCCGAGACTTGGGAGCAGGAAGCGCACCACTACCACCTGGGGGGATTCTAGCGGTGAGCTGGATGCGTGATGCGGGTGCTCATGATGTCCCGCAAGAGCGCCCGAAACGATACAAACCAGCACCACCCCTGCCAACCTTCTGCCTCCATCCTCCAAGTGGTGGTGGTGGTGCGCTTCCATCTCACTAGGTGATGCTGAGGAGCCTGGAGCAAACAATCACATCAACTATAGAACTGCCGGAGGTCCGTGCGGATTTTTCGGACCTGCGCTTGAGGCCTCTGCGGATGCCTCCCGCGTCGCCCGGGCGCGCCCCGCGCGCCAGGGACGAGGGTCCAGCGCCGATCCGAGGAGTCCGCGCGGATCTCCCGAGCTTTCTGTTTATGCTAGTGCTTGTCCCTCTGTAGGAACCTGCCGCCGTGCTACACTCGCCAGATGCTGATCGACCTGCTCGCGAAGAAGGGGCTTTCGCAGCATGTTGACTTCCTCTATCTGCCCATGAACTTCCAGCTATCGCAGAACGTCGGCTACTCCTTCCTGAACGTAACCAGCAAGGAGCAGACAGAGCGCCTGTTCGAAGTCTTCGAGAGCTTCCAAGACTGGGGGGTCGACTCGGATCGGCTCTGCTCCGTGTGCTGGAGTGACACGCAGGGCTTGGATGCGAACATCGAGCGCTACCGGAACAGCCCAATCATGCGCAAGGAGGTACCATACTTAGTTGTTCTGAAAGACGTTGGCGGCGTGTTTGTGTTTTTGTTTTCAACGGTTTTGGCCGCGGCCGACCAACACGGAAACAACACGGTAGGCAAACACGGGTTGCATAACGATTTGTTTTCGAGCTGAAATCGATGAGTAAACGGAGCGACAACGGCAACCCAAACGGAAAGAAAACGCCGATCTTGAAGACGAAAATAACGCCCCCAAGCGTTTTCAAGAACATCTAAGGTGCCAGATGAGTACAAGCCGACGCTACTCTCGAACGGGGTCCCAGTCGCGCTCCCGAAGCCCACCAGGCAGCTGCGTAGCCTCCGCTGCCGCAGAGGCCACGGCGTCGGCACGCAGTAAGCGTTGCCCCTCCGTTCGCGATTCCGAGAGTGGCGGCCGGGGGAGCGAAGTTACGGAAGGGATCGGAGGGGAGTGGGCTGCTCGACCCCATTTTTCATCAGGAGACTAGGAGCTTTATGTGAGCGCCGCGGTTCCCAGAATGGGGGGCGCCTGTGGTGCTCACTGAAGTGACGCTCGGCGCCGCGGAGTACAGTCAGACCGTATAGTAGGCATGAGCCAAGATCCAAGATTGCCATTGCCTTCTTTCCATTTGGCCCATCCTCGGCTACCTGCGCTGGCCGCGCCCCGCCCGCAAAGTGTCGAAGGCCCTTACGTCCTTCCCGCGCATCCTTACTATACGGGTTGACTGTAGCGAATAGCAATGTGAATACGGGCAGGTTCGTGGCAGTGGATTTGGCTACGCGAACCGACGCTGCTCCTGGGTGCCTCTCATGTGCCCGCAGTACTGCGCCTGGAGGAAGCTGACCCGCGCAGATTCGTGCGAGCGAATTTGGCTACACGAAACGCGTCCGCTCTCCAGGGCTGCCGATCGGCGGCGAGCGAGGGAGGACGTGAGAAGGAGAAGGCCTTCTCAGAAGGCGGCGGGACTTCTCAGAAGCCCTCGGGCCTTCTGAGAGGTTTTCTGCGTTATCGGAGCAGGCTTCGAAAACTTCTTGCACGGCCGGGGGACTTCCGAGCCTTCTGAGAAGTGCATCTCTTTCTCGCTTCCCCCCCTCGCTCGCCGCCGAACCTTAGGTGGGCCTCAGAGGAGTAACTGGTACCGATGCCGCTGCTCGTCTCTTGTCGCCATCGGCTGGAGTCGCCGCGGAAGCTTGGTCATAGCGCACCCCTGGAGAGGCCCGCGGAAAGAGCAGTAATTATCGGCATCTGTTTGTTCTCCCAGGGCCCTGAGCTGTAAGTTGGCACGTCACCATGTTTCACGCGCGTTCCTCTGCCAGCTTAGGTCTAGGAGCCGAAGTTTGGAGGCAGGGCATCGGGCTGCGAGTGCGCGCCAGTCTATGGTGGTGGTGCGGCGAAGAGATGTGCATTCAACGAGCAGCAGAGGAAGGGCGCTCCCCTCGCGAACTCGCTCCCCTCATGACGCGCTACTGCATTGACGGTCATGTTTCGGCGTAGCGATGGCCAAACCAATACGGGGCGTGCCGCCATGACATTACAATCGGCGGGCCAACATATGGCGCAGACGAGCTGCGCGAGAAACACCACCATCAATTTCGTGAACTCGACCAGCGAAACACCCATTGGCCGGAGAGGGACGCGAGAGCGATCGCGGGGTGCTCCGTGCTCCGTCCCGCGAACCTGGAGCCACGCCTGCTGCTCTGCGCCGCGCGCCCGCGCCAAGGCCTCCGCCAGCTGTCACGGAAGGCGGCCCCCGTGGCTGGAGAGGGAGCCTTCCGTTCTTGGGGGCCAAGTACTGCTGTCTTGGGCCGGACGAACGGGGGGGATTGGGAAAGGGGGGATTACGAAATTTGCTGCGTGCAGCTGGTTTCGGCCTCACCGAGGGGCCCATTCCTCGATACATGGGCGCCTCCGGCGCCAGGAGGCGCCGGGAAAATCAGCTACGTGAGCTGATTCTCAAACCCCCCCTTTGCTATCCCCCCCTCTCGCCCGACCCGATTGTCGGCTTCTGGCCGCGAGCGTCTATGGACACGTTGGGTGCCGTTGCGTATCTACACGCATTTGGGGTGGATGCATATGTACACAACGCGGCCGTTGCGTTCGACGGAGTGCAAGGTCGGAGAAAACGCGAACCTGTCTACGTTATGCGTGTTCTACACCAAATCCTATATGGTCATTCGCTGACCCTGGGCGCGTGGCCGAAGTGAGGCTCTGCGGTGCAAAATTGTTGTTTGTTGTTTGTTATTTGTTGTCGTCGTCCCACCCCCCGCGACCCGGCCCGCGACCCACCCGCGACCCCTTGTCCCACCCGCGACCCACCCGCGACCCTGCCCGCGACCCTGCCCGCGACCCACCCCGCGTCCCGGCCCGCGACCCACCCGAGACGCATCCGCGACCCACCCGCGACCCGTGACCCACCCGCGATCCGCCCACGCGCGCGGCGGGCAGCAGCTGGGCGCACCTCCGTCGCGCGCTGGGGGGGAGGCAGGCGCGGGGAGACAGCGCACGGGGCGCCGGCGGCGCTGGCTGGCGCGGGGCAGAAGCTCGAGACGAGCTGGCGCTGAGGTGGGGGGCGCAGAGGGAGGAGCAGGGTGAGGAGCCAAGGGAAGGTGGAGGGAATGAACAGCAGGGTAAGGAACCAGGGGAAGAGGAGGAGGAGGAGGAGGAGGAGGAGGAGGTGGAAGAGGAGGAGGAGTTGGAGGAGGAGGAGGAGTTGGAGGAGGAGGAGGAGGAGGGTCCGTAACCTTTTTGGCTCAAGTTTGAACCGTCGCCCCGTGGCTCCAACCGGACGCGCGGCCGAGGGGCTGGCTCGAGGGCCGCCGCCCCACAGGCCTTCCAGACTACAGCCGTGCGCCAAATCGCGCCCACCGTCCGTTCTGCAATTTGGCGACAGCGAGGCATCCGTTGCGACCGTGCCGACCCAGCACTGCTCGCCATGACGTCGAGGCGCGCGCCAGGCCAGATCGACGACGCGTGCATCAAGAGCGAGAACTGCGCAACAAAACAGGTTAAACAACATAACAAATCAAAAGCGAGAACTGCGCCTGCGCAAAGAACAGGAGCTGGTGGCGGTGGTACAGTCATTGCAAAGCGGCCCTCCCTCTTGATGCGCCTCATCGGCGGGTACGTGGCCTGCGGCGTTTTCCTGCTAATGACCTACGCTTCCGTGGGCCACGTTGGCGTGAACAGCGTGATGCACCGCCGCCATTGGCGATTGAGGGTGCACGTGTCCGCTTTTTGTTGCACGTGTCCGCCTTCTTTCCTGGCTTTTGGTGCATCCGCTTTCTTTCTGGGGATTGGGTTCCTGGCCACCTGCCTCGCTGGGCTAACCTGCAGCACCTCCGGGAGAAGGGCCCGACAATGCGGTTGCCAACTTGTCTTAGCAATTCGACATAGTCGGTGAGCAGCGTCAGCGGCATGCAGGGCGTTTCGAAGGTTTTCTTTCCTCGGCAGGTTTTCCAGTTGAAGATGGCGCTTACCCGACACAGGGGCGCCCATTTTACCCCTAGGGCTCGTATCTGGGGAACCCGATCAAGCACCCACAAGAGGCTCGACGCATTTTGGAAGTACCCTGTATTTTTCTTCTGAAGGCTACCTCCAGGAGCTCATGGACCATGTTCTGAAGCTAGCTGTAGACGAGGTCGCCCCCGACCTTAACTTTGCCCAATGTTCCGCAGATAAGATCCACACCGTGGCTGCTGCTTGCGGAGATGGGTTTGATACCGAGCCTGATCTGGCCGTCGAGGTTGCTGAAGAGGTTGTGGTGAAGAAGGCCAGGCAGAGATGGGGAACCTTGGCAGATTTGGCCAAGGAGCCCACGCAGGATCGCGGAAGGAGCGCACACCGGCTTGTGAAAGACAACAAGCAAGCAAGGCCACCGGAAGACAACGCGGGCTTCTCTTATAGACGATCGGCCGGCCGCCAAGCTTTGTTCATCTTGGAGCGCCATGACTTCGCGACGCGAAGTCGACCGCGACCGACCTCAAGTAAGTTGCAGCCCGCCGCACGACCCTGCCGCCCCCGTTCGATGGAAGTGCTCGAGGCCGCCGGGAACTGAGTGCAATGTTGACCTGTGAATCGACTGCGCGAGCCCACCTCCGTGGATCCTGCCGAGGCCAGCAGCGTTCAAGACGCCGCACCTTATCTTATGAAACTCGCTTGCACCAGCACTTGGGCCGATCTAGAGGACGATTCTGTAGATTTCGCTATTTCCCAGACGCATTCCGGTAGTGCTGTATAGTCGCTTTCTGGGTGTTTCGGCCCCACCCTGCAGCGCCCCCGCGGCGTTCCAAGCAGGTCGCAGTTCGCAGTTCGCAGTTCGGTCGGACCTTATTCGCCTCTGAGGAGAGAGGAACCAGAGATGCCAGACAAATGGCCAACGATGATAGCGTATACTGGCAAGCCCGAATCTGCTGACCATCGACTTTGGCGCCCCTCGTTCCCGTGGGAAGGGCGCGGGCAACATTTCAGTCAGAACATCGCAAGGCAACGGGGGATTCAGCACCAGTTTCAGCGTTTTCGTGGGTTATGGAATGCGACACTCACTATTGAAGAATAATTATTGTTGATCCCCCCCTCCGGTGCACATTGTATTTTTTCTATTGAAGTGCCCCTCCCGGCGCGCGCAGTTTGTTTTTTATCCAGGAAAGCCTTTCTCCTCAAATTGTGTTGTTGGCCCCCGGTTTACAACAACAGCGGTTCCCGCTTGATATTTCCTCGAAATTTGCTCCTGGACTCCTGTCCCCCGCTCCCGCTGGAAACTACTTCGCAATGTACTCAAGAATCGCGCTCCCGCCTGAGATTTCTTCGCAATTTACTCAGGCGCCGCGCTCTTGCCATTCAGAAATTGCGCGTTCGCTGGGGACTTCTTCAAATTTACTTAGGAATCGCTCTCTCGCTGGAGACTTCCTGGCTAATCACGTCGTGGGAACACAGACCCGGGGCTGGCAGACCCGGGGTGATTTTTTCTTATGCCCTTAATAAGGCCTCCGGAACGGAGCCGACCTGCCACGGCAGCCTTTTCGGTTGCGTTACGAAACAAGCGAGCTTCTCACAAGCCGCGTGCAGCGAGCCACGTCAGGGCCAGGCAAGCCGCGCTGCGGCCGCAGGACCTTTCCGATGCAGATGTTTCTGCATTGCAGGGTTTTTTTTCTGCAGCACTTTTGCGGGACATCTGGAAATCTGCAATGCAGAATTTGTTGTTCTGCATTGCAGTTTTGGTTTCTTGCATGTCTGGGTGCGTCTGGCCACGAGCCGCCCCTGTGGGATATTGGGTACGGTGTGGAAATCATGTTGAACATCTGGGCTGGGCGCATGACAGGGCCCTTCGGCGCCAGGGCTTGCGCGCCCGAAACAGCTGCAAAATACAAGGCCCCAGCCCC